CGTCTGCCAATAATTTTCCGCGTTTCGTAGCAACAAATACTTAACATGCCTATAATTTTTATCCCTGAGCTTTATCATTTTTTTCCTTGTAAAATTTGTCATTTTTGACCGTCCACCCCCGCCTTAATCTTTCTAAGCGCGCAGGCAGACTGGTCACTCAGTGTTCGGGAGTGATAATGGAACCTCTCTAGCTATAAATATTTCATGTACCTTATACCTTGCATTTTTATGTAGCCAGCTCTTAGACTATAGTGCCCGGGATTCAGGCAATTTATGCAGAGTCGTTTGTCTCGTATTGTTCTCATTCTGTCAGGAGCTGCAATGATTGCTTCAACAATTCTTCGCATTTATATATCGGATGTCCTCCTTCGCAGATCTTGCAGCTTGCTGTTGTCGTCGTGAGTGAGACTTTCTTCTCGTTCTTCTTTTGTGTCGCTGGCTTCTCGCTGAACGTTTGCTTTCCCTTATTTTGATTCAAAACTCTCAACGTGTAACATCGCTCCGTCAAGAATTTTAGGATCTCTTCCATCTTCGGCATGTTTCCCGGCGTTCTGTTCTTAGTCACATTCTGCCAGTCACGCTGTTCAGGAAAATCCAATTTCTTCTTTGCCAGATGAATTATCATCGTGTTCCATTCATCTACTGGCTGCTCTAGCGCCTGCAGTGATGTCATGTGCGTATGAATATGCCATATAAATTGTCGAATTGAGTCAGCCTTATTTTTTTTTGCAATATTCGGAAATTGTAACAGGGCATCAAGATGAGTCTCGATAATTAACATCTGATTATCGTACGTATTCTTCAGGAGTGTCCAGGCATTCTCGTAGTTCTCGTCCGATATATTAAACCCCTGAATTACTTGAAAAGCTTCATCTTTTAGAACACCGACCAAATATTGGTGTTATTGCATCGGCGATAGGTAGATATCGCGATGTATTGTCGTTTCAAAATTGTTCTTAAAAAACATCCATTTTGTATAATCGCCGCTGAACTCTGCCAATTTAATTTCAGGCAACTTCGGCTTATTCCGTCGCTGTCCTTCGTCTCTTGGCTCTTGTACGTGATGCTGATTCGCTGCTTGCTGTGCTGCGACTTGCTGCGCAGCTGCTTCCGTATTTATTATTTTCCGCGCTTCCGCTGCAGCCTTGTAGTAACTGCTTTCGAAGATCTCTCGTTCCGCTTCGCCTACGGCTTGTATCGCTGCCGCTTGTTTGTCCGTTTCTGCTGGCCGAGCGTCTATTTCGTCTTGTGTTTGCTCGAATTTGTCCCATAACTCTTCGAGCCTTTGTAATCGCACTTGTGCTTCTGCTGCGCTTTTTTCGTCCTTCGTTTCGAAATATAACCGTATTCTGGTGACTTGCCTCTTTATCTGGGCCCTTTTTTGCTTTAGCGTTCTCATTTCCGACATTTTGGACAGAATTTGGAATGCACGTGAGTTAGAACGGGATTACAGTTCGATTTACTCACCCTTCTCGATTTTGATGCTTCACGTCTCGTTAACCGCCACATTATGTTATGTTGCGGTATCGCTTCGTATCTTTCGTGACTATATGCGTGCGAAATTTCTTGGTCCGCCAATTGCTGTGTATCGTTGTGATACGCCTAATGCTGTATAGTAATGCATCCGCGTGAGTCTGCCTCGACGCGTTCAATCTCGTACATGGTTGCGACACTGCTTCACGCGTCTCATATGCCTGTATGCGCCTGCCTCAAGCGCGTTTCGTATTTTCCTCACTTTTCCTCGATCTCAATCGTGTTTTCAATAGCCGTACCGTTAGGCGCTAAATGTTTTTGGATGGTAATGAATGCACTCACAATGGATATCAATCTATAATTCGCTTTATTGCACAGACTTCGCGCGCTTTCGTTGCATGCTCTTCCGCCATTATTACTATTCTGCCCTTCTTCCCTATACTCTAGCCTCGACTCCTTACACTATAGCCTCGACTTCCTACACTCTAGCCTCGACTTCCTGCACTCTGCGCAAATAAAACAAACTCTCGCGAACATATACCATATTTTTATTATTTAGGTGTTTTGTCACCCAATGGTTACTGCAGACCTTTTGATATCGCTGCAAACGGTTATTCACGTAGCGAAACGATAGGAGTGATATACCTTCAAAAAGCAAAGAATGCGAAAAGGATTTATGCTATATGTCCTCATATTAAAACAAACAACGATGGTTACAAGGAAGAAGGAATAGTACATCCATCGATGCTTATGCAAAGTACTTTGCTAACGGAATTTTACGATGAGTGCAGAATATCAACATCTTGCTTAGATTACATTGAAGCACATGGTACCGGTACTAAAATCGGCGATCCTCTGGAAATCAACGCTATTTATAACGTTTTGTGTAAGAATAGAAAAACTCCATTAACGATCGGCTCCGTAAAATCCAATCTTGGTCATGCTGAAGCTGCAAGTGGTTTTACTCAGATCGCTAAGGTAAAACAAGTAATTTTTGCATTTATTTATTATTTTAAAATTTATGTTTATTTTACGCAATACACACGCACGCACGCATGCACACAAGAAGATTTATTTTACGTAAAAATTATTTGACAAGTCATTCTATCGTACTCGAGCTTGACAAAGGTTAAAGGATCGCGAAAACCTTCTATTACATTCTATTATTTTCTATTACACGGTTATCTCTAGAATTAACATAATGAGATACATATGGAGGGGTAAAAGCCATAGTGGTATAAGTCAAACTTTTTTAAAATATTGATTTGTGTGCATAGATGCAATCTATACAATATATAAACTGTATCTATGCACACAAGTCAATGTTTTAAAAAATTTGACTTACACCACCATGGCTTTTACCCCTCCATATAATATACGGTAAATAAAATTTTGATCGATAAATAATTTTGACAAATAAAGATGTACCATTTTTGGTTGATAAAGATGTACGATCTTTGGTTGAGCTGGATTTGATTTTTTTGTGAATTTATTTCAAGTTTATTTTAAGTTAAAAATTGTTTACAGTGACTTAAATGATGCTGATATACATTAGCATCAATAAGTTAAATCAATTTAAAATATGTTAAACTTATGGTTCCAACGAAAAACTGTGTTTCAAAACTAACGAATAATTGGCGATCAGTTTTAGTGAAAAAAGTATATAAATTCACACAAGAATAATATTAAGCTATAAAGATCCAGCTCGACCAAACGTGTGTGGCATATCACTACTTATTTATCAATAATATATGAGTCAATATCTAACAAATTAATTCATATTTACATTTTATAATTGTTACTGATTTTTAAAGGCAATAATAGCATTTGAAACCGGTTTTGTTCCACCAAATATCAATTATACAACACCACAAAATATAGATGCCTTAATAAATGGAACTGTTCGTGTCATCGAAGAACCGATGCCACTTAAAAACGGTTATATAGGTATCAATTCTTTCGGTTTCGGGGGAGCTAATTCTCACATGTTATTAAAGTGGAACCTCAAACAAAAAGTTAACAATGGAACACCGAGTAATGACTTGCCAAGACTTGTAATATTATCTGGGAGCACTGAAGAATCAGTGAAGTTATTCTTAAATGATGTTAGTAGACATTTCGAAAGCAATCTCAACAAGATTTTTTTAGTGATTAATCATTATATCATATACTTTTTGCTTTAAAAAAATTTCTATTATAGGTCGCTAATCGTCCGATAAATATAGAATATATCCGTTTAATACACGACGTCTATGGGGACAGCATAGATGGTCACTTATGGAGAGGATTCACTATACTGAATATTTTGCAACAAGATTTAATAAGAGAAATTCAAAATTGCAAGAATGCGAAAAGACCTGTTTGGTTTATATTTTCTGCTTTAGGCTCGCAATGGCCAGAAATGGGTATATATGTATTTAATGTTCCATACTTTATTTACAGTAGCATTTAAATAATAATATATTTTTTAATTAAAATTAGGTCGAAATTTATTAAAATTTCACGTCTTTGCAAATGCGATAAGAGTGTGCGACGTTACTTTAAAACCATATGGTATAGGTGTCGCGGATATTTTGACAAAGACAGATGAAAAAGTGTGCGAAGACGCGTTACACGCGTTTGTTGGCATTGTTGCTATTCAGGTAAAATATACTTCGAAGCTATAAAATAATGTCAACTATACTATGTTTATTGATGAAGCAATATAAATTCTTTCTATGTCATTTTGTCCTACTACAGTGGAATTATCTTCTTACATAACTACATTTATTTTACCACACTTTATTGATTTATTAGAAATGAATTCTTCAAAGTAATTCAGCTATAAAATTATTTGTATAAATTTTTAGATTGGTTTAGTAGATCTCCTAACATCATTAGGAATTATTCCGGATTACATGATTAGCCATTCTGCTGGTGAACTTGGTTGCGCGTACGCCGATGGATGTCTCACTATCGAACAAACTATTTTATCAGCATATTTTATTGGTTTGGCGTGTGCCGAAGGAAAAATAATTCGTAGCTCTATGGCAATTGTCAGTCTTGATTACGAGTGTCTCAAAAACATGTGTCCAGTGGATATTGAAATAATATGTCGCAATAGCGAGAATAGCAGCGTTGTGAGTGGACCCATAGACTCCGTGCGAGAATTTATGAAAATCTTGCAGGTAGGATTGAATAGCTCTTATATTTCATAAGCGAATAGAAAACTTCGTTTAATGATCTTCAAAATATCAAACTTGCCGCATTTGCATATATTAAATTTGTACTTTTGTATTGTCAGATCAATAATATTCACGTGAAAGAGGTACACTGCAATGTACCGTATCACACTTCTTATCTCGCATCTGTGGAAATTCAACTTTTGCTTAATTTAAACAAAGTAATATCACGGCCGAAGAAACGGAGTCCAAAATGGATAAGCACTTCCATACCTCGCACCGAATGGTTCACCTCAGCATCAAAATTATCATCGGCGGACTATCATACACATAGTATATTAAATACCGTTCTTTTTGAACAAACAACGCATCTAATTTCAAATAACGCAGTGACCATCGAAATTGCGCCAGATAGCGTTCTGCAGCACGTTCTGAAAGAATCCTTGTGTTCGGAAGTAATGAACGTTGTATTGACTCGATGCACTGAACAAAATGTTGACGCAATTTTACAAGGAATTGGAAGGCTGTATAACTGTGGCTTACAGCCGAAAGTTGCTAATTTATACCCGCCAGTGGAATATCCTGTTAGTCGAGGAACTCCTATGATTTCCCCATCGATCAGGTACAAAATATTATTTGAAATCGCAATTTAGATTATGTCTACATAAAAGAAATTATAAATATATGTTTATATTATTTATAATTATATTGTAATTATTAATATAATATATTATTAATTATAATTATATTTATTAGGTAATAAATTAATATTATCAAATCTGTTATTATTATTTAAATATATATCACATATATAAATAATCATATAATATATATTTCTTATATATGTAATTATATAATGTATTAATGTACAAACAAGCATTCTAATGCCACATTAGATGGGATCACTCCAAAGATTGGTATATACCGTGTTTTGAAACACAAATGTCCATAAAATCTCGAGAAAGATATGTCGAAATCTCACTCGATGATGAGGACTACTATTATATGCATGGTCATATAATCGATGGAAGAAATTTGCTACCCGCGACGAGTTATCTTGTACTCGTTTGGCAAACTTTCGGTATGATGAAAGGGATAACATACACAACAATACCGATAATATTTCGAGATGTAAACTTTATTCGCGCTACTCACTTGACGAAAAGTAATGCTGTAAAAGTGATGATTTCGATACAGAAAGGTATTTATGAGATGAGTTATTTTAAAGTAGCATAATCGTATAAGAATGTATGTAAAATAATCGGATATATAAAAATATTACAGATGGGAAGTTTGAAATAACCGAAAGAGATAGCGTTCTTGTGACAGGTACAGTGCACGAGATATCGAATCCAGAACAGGAAAAGATTCGGACAGATCTATTACCGGAGATTAACGATGAAGAACAATATATGACTGCTCGAGATATCTATAAAGAGTTGAGACTGCGTGGTTACCAGTACAGCGGCTGGTTTCGCGGATTACATAGCGCATCTATTTCAGGCAATAAAGGACATATTGTTTGGAAAACAAATTGGGTAACGTTTATGGATACTATGTTACAGATGTGTATTATTGGATATGATACTAGAGACTTATGTGTTCCGACGAGTATTCAGAAGTTAGTGATCAATCCTAAGCTTCATGCATCGATGCTACGAAACAGCGTGGCTAGCGTGGAAGATACGACATGCAAGGATAAAAGTAAGTGTTCTTCAATCACTTGTTGAGCTATTTTGTTTTGACGAATGTCGCGTAAGAGAATCTCTGATGTGATACATAAGGCGTATTATTTTGACTTATTGCAGCATTACCGATACGAATATACAGAGAACTAGACACGATTATAGCTGGCGGAATAGAGATTCAAGGCTTAAAAACCACTCAGATCTCTCGCCGAAGATTGGGTCAGGATGTTGTTATCGAAGAACACGTATTTGTAGCTCATCATGATCACGCTAAGATTTCTTTGAACGAAGCGATTCGAATATCGGCGCAACTCGCGCTGGAAGATCATCAAATCATCCAAGTAAAAACCATCGAGCTAGTGGAAGATGTCGACAATGTCACACCAGAATATCTCTCTTCTTCGTTGCTGCTTGAGGCTTTTGGTGATATGACATTGATACAAACAAACATCATTGTATTGACATCGCCGAATCGTTTTAGTCCAGCAGATCTACCGCAGAACATTTCAATTAGAGATTTAAACCAACCATCTGTAAATGACAAAGCCTTAATAGTTGCCGGATTCAACCTTTTGACCAAGCAACCAGCCTCGTTAGAACGACTTTTTTCATTTCTGAGAGAAGGTGGTTATTTGTTGTCACGTGAGAAATGCAACGTAGTTAACTACACCAAATATTTACAGCAATACGAATTAAATGTTATTCTTGAAAAACGCACCGACAAAGAAATGATTGTGCTTCTGAAGAAGAAAATTCTGATAGAAAAGAGAATTGTTGTCTACATAAATAATAATAATTTTAATTGGCTGGAGGATCTAAAACTGCTTGTGAGCGATGAAAATAAGCTTGAAGAAAAGAGTAGGATTATAATTGTTGGAGAGAGAGATTTTGAATGCGGTTTATTAGGTTTTGTTAATTGTTTGAGAAAAGAGCCAGGGGGAGAGTTTGTTAGGAGTGTGCTTATTCAAGATGAGAAAGCCCCTAAGTTTTCTCTACAGGATCCTTTTTATATACATCAATTGGAAAAAGATATGTTAATTAATGTATTGCGATTTAATGAGACCTGGGGATCATACAGATATTTGCGATTACCACTACCGGAAGCCGAACCCGTACCTACCGCTCATGTATGCCAAACGGTATGCCTCATACGAATCTTTTCAAAGCATATCGATATACTTTATCAATGTACAATAATATTATGTATTTTTGTCTTTTGAGTACTGTCACACGATATAAAATTTCGTTTTATATATATGTCACGTATTATAAAATTGATATTTTTTTATAGATCCGTGGTGATCTAGGTACATTTTTTTGGATAGAGAACAATCTATCTGTCGAAGCCCGTCGTGAGGATTTGGTGCGTGTGGTTTACTCATCGCTCAATTTCAAAGATGTAATGCTTGCGACTGGTAAATTAGTATCTGATCAAGCAATCTCACGAGGACGGTTTCAATGTACTCCCCTTGGGTTTGAATACGTAGGATTCGATCCCAATGGGCAACGTGTAATGGGAATCCGTGATACCGAGTAAATAATGCTCCAAAAAATAATTACGTTGCGTAATATTATAGAATTAAAACTAAATTAAGATTATTTTTTCTAGTTGTATTGCAAACGTCGTTGTGAAAGATAAATATTTCTGCTGGAAGATACCCGATGCGTGGACATTCGAAGCGGCGGCGACGGTTCCGTACGTTTACAGCACGGTTTACTTAGCCTTATACATACATGGGAAAATGAAAAAATTCAATAAGATACTTATACACTCTGGTACTGGCGGTATTGGACAAGCAGCTATTCACCTTGCTCTCAAAGAAGGATGCGAGGTGTTCACTACCGTGGGCACGAAAGACAAACGGAACTTTATTAAGAAAATGTTTCCGATCATTCTGGATGAACATATTGGAAATTCACGAGATACCAGCTTTGAACAAATGATAATGCGAGAAACGAACGGTCGCGGCGTCGACATCGTGTTAAATTCATTGGCAGAAGAAAAGTTAATCGCGTCCATTCGTTGCTTGGCGCAAAATGGTCGTTTTCTGGAAATCGGAAAATTTGATCTCATTTCTAACAATCCGCTAGGTATGTCTGTGTTTCAGAAAGGTATTAGCTTTCATGGGATTCTACTCGATAATATGATGCGTCCTGGCGATCACAAGTATAAGTCGCTGTTGTCTAAAATGATAGCTGATGGTCTTAAAGATGGAGTCATTAAACCAATTCAAGTAAAAGTTTTTTCGAAAACAGAAATCGAAGAAGCTTTTAGATACATGGCGAGTGGAAAACACATAAAAAAGGTACGCTAGTATTGCTTAATAGTAGCATAGAGAATTATTCATAATAGTTTTACAGAACTTACCTATTTTACATATAATGTGCATTTTTAACATATAAATATATATTTTTAAAGATAATTATAAAGATCCAGGAAAAGGATAAACCTCTAGACGAGCCC